TTTTGCAAATTAAATTCACCCTTTTGCAAATCAAATTCACACTTTTGCAAATTAAATTCATACTTTTGCAAATAAATATCTACCTTTTGCAAATTAAATTCAACCTTTTGCAAATCAAATTCACCCTTTTGCAAATCAAATTCACCCTTTTGCAAATTAAATTCACCCTTTTGCAAATTAAATTCATACTTTTGCAAATAAATATCTACCTTTTGCAAATTAAATTCAACCTTTTGCAAATTAAATTCAACCTTTTGCAAATCAAATTCACACTTTTGCAAATCAAATTCACCCTTTTGCAAATTAAATTCACCCTTTTGCAAATTAAATTCACACTTTTGCAAATAAATATCAACCTTTGCAAATCAAATTCACACTTTTGCAAAAAGTTGAATTTCACGTGCAAAATTATATACAATAATCAGTTTTGAGTAAATAATTACAAAATTATTTACGTTTGAATTTGATTTTCAAAATGAATAATTAGTTTCGAGTAAATAATCCTACAATTATTTACGTCACCACGTTACGAACATTATGTGTGTTTAATTTAGTGATACACTTATTATGGTAATGTGAGGGGGGTTTTGGTATGAAAGAGTGAATGTGAGAGAGTTGATGTGAATGGGCCTGGAAAGGAAGAACGAATGGAAGACGATCGTGCGTGGCGTGTTTGTTATGTTTAAACAACATGGGTTGTCAAGCCGATCGCGGCGTGTGTGTGTGTGGATGCGTGCGTGGAGAAAAGGAAGAATAGTGTGTGTGTAAAAAAAACGAGAAGCATCGAGCCGGAGGAGGACGAATCGGAGCAGCGGTGAGAAAAAAGGAAGCAGATTACAAGTGAACAGCACCGGCGTCGCGTGGGGTTACTTTTTATTATAATAAACGCAAAAGTATTTAACAAAATCCCACAGTAAGTTAACATTACACGTATTTAATTATAAAATAGTACTATTAAAAATAGGCGATTTTCGTATTAATGAATTTGACAATGATCAAGTAACGGTACACGCTTTCTTGAAATGATCATGTAAATTTCACTTACTAATTGATTCCTGGTGTATAATACATAGTACAGTTATTTAGCAAATGAAAATAGAATACGGTATTTACATATTAGTCATGGTCGTCAGGAAATAGTGTTCGTATTAAAATGCCTCGTAATGCATTTATTCGGATTGTATCTCAAGTATCAATTAACATAAAGTTACACACTAATGCACAACAATATCTTACGATCATTTCTGTTTCTAGTGATTCAATCAGGCCTTCACTCCGCAGGTCGAGTATCAATTAGTAAAAAAATTTTTTTTTTTTAAGTAGTATAACTTCAATTTTGAAAAATAAAAAATGAGTTAAGGTTAATTTCCACTTTAATATGGATGTCCTTTTTTAATATTTATAAGGACAATGTCAATGTACAGCAATATCCTCGTGAACTCATCAAAAGAAGTTTAATTGTTAAGTGTTATTGCATAAATGATATTTTTGAAAGTGGTACAAGTCCATTGGTGTAGCCAAAAAGAACCTCGTTTTTCTTTAACAATATTAATAATTATCATCACATAATAAAATTTAACATGTTTACAATCTTAGAAACACTAGATGAAATTATTAACGTTTGCTAATATTTTTTAATTATTATAATTCAAACGCAAACCCTTAGCTATCTTGATATAAGAATAAATGGAATTGTACCACTTAAAAAAAAAAAAAAAAACGGCTCAAGTAATGTTTTAATTGATAACTCATAGTTGCGATGATTCTGTATTCAATACACGAGTGAAAATATACTTATCAAAATATCTACCAATTAATAAGATGTCTTATGCATTTTGACAATTCATTTTGTCTTGTATTTTTTATTGTAATTTAACGTAATAAATCGTAGGACTTATTTGCAAATCATATTCGAAAATGACGAGAGAATAAATGTGAATTTCGTAGTGTTGGCTTATTCGTGAAATTTCTGTCCTCGATAATTTTCATAGAACATTTGAACATATTATTCGTCGTTATTGTTTACTCGAGGAGTTTGTACATTCGAAGGTCGTTGCTCAACCAACAGTTTTGAGTAGGTAGGTATACTTCGGTGACCTACTTCAGAATAACAGTATAGTCAGATGCACCGTCCAAAATTTAAAACACATCCTTCAAGGTGTGATATTACACTCGTGAAGGTATTTCCTTTCGGTGCAAAACATTAAACACCGAAAGACCGTCCTTTTAATCCTCGTTTGTGACATTTCTGATAAATGAATTTTCTTATTATTTTATTTATCTATTA